CCACTGGTCTGGGGACCTCGGTGGAGGCGTGCCGCCCGGCAACATCCACTCCTTCACTGACTTTCACTCTCTCCAGTCCACCAGTCATCATTCTCTGTTGACCCTCGTCCTGCCTACATGTTCACGCTCTCTCGGTCGGCTCGTTTTCAGCGACGACCCCCGGAGACCTTTCTGGTGAGGCCTCGGTCTAGCATGTCTGCGTCGTCTCTCAATCTCGGCCCTCCACACATTGCCTCAACTCGCGTCTGTACCCCTGTTCTTCCCTCCACGTCCACGCCCGGATCCGGAACTGTCTAGACAAGCGCCAGCCCACCAGCGGCCACCTCCCACCTCCCTATCGTGGACCGGCCAAAACCAGAGATCGCGGGGGTAAAAGGCGAGGAGGGCTGCCCCCAAGGCCCCATCACCCCATGTCTATGCCATGATGGCTCAAGAGCACGCCAAAGACATGGCGGTCTCGAGCTTTATCCATGTGATTGGGTGCTGGGCAGTGTACGTCCAATACGTCTTGTTCCTCGGCCACTGCACGCCAGTGTGCGGCTTGGAGGCCGACTTGCCTGTTGCATCGTTTCGCAGCTCGACTGGCTCTCTCTCTCTCTCTCTCTCCATAGGCTAGTCGGCTGGCTGCCTGCCTTCCAATGACACCATTCCGCCCGCCGCTTTGCTGATTGCGCCACCAGGGAGCGGGGTGGGGACAATCCACGGGGGTCACCCACGGGATCCTGCGTCTCCTGACATGACAGGAATCCGGGGAAGGGTGGCTTGCGCAAACAAAACGACAACGGCAGGACAGACTTTGGGCGTCTCAGCCAGTTGCTCGACTCATTTACGTAGACATGGCTAGGCCCTCACAGTGATCAGCAGCCTCTGAGACTCTTGTGCGTCACGCCCCAGGCAGACGGCATTTCCCAAGACACAAATCATGACTTGCTTCAAGAGCCTACGATCCTAATCGTAGTCAAAATAGTGGGCAGAAACATTTGGTGATAGTCTGGCAGCCGTGAGATATTACAGCCAGTGGAATCATTCAGCCATTCAGCTTCGTTTGACGAAGGTGTTGTTGAGTGCCCCTCCTGCTGGTGTTATATCTTGGCAGACACTTCGTTGGTTCTTGCCGAGACGAAGAGCAGGCCGTGGGAGGACGATCAGCCGGCTCATTATCCAGCTGGAACAACCATTCCTTCTCCGTCCGCCCATACTACTTCAGAAGTGGCTCGGATCAGGAATCGCGACATAAGACCCCGGACAACCATCCTTGGCACGGTGGCCACGGACGGCAGGCCGAGAGATGCTTGCGCCTACAGTACAATCTCCAAACCTGGTCTCTGGTCAAGCATCGCAGAGGTCAAATGATACCCCTCAGCTCAGCTCACCCAGTACGAATCAGCAACTCCACTCGACCTGTGAAAGGACGGTTCAGTGTGCCAACAGTCACATGCGTTCGAAAGAGTGGGCGAGTATCCTCGCCAGAGAAGCCAGATCAACCAGCCCCATGCTGATCTTCGACCAACACCAGAAGGACCCTTCGCGCATATCTGACTGGGGATCCGCTGGATAGATTGACCGCCCGGTAGCCATGCTGGGGGCCTGGGTAAGTTGACGCTTCGCTCGCTGTTCGCCCGATCCCTTGCATGATGACACGGGATCACTACGAAGACACGCGCTTGGTATTTTACTCACGCACGCCAAAGCTGCGAAGGCATATTCGACTACTTTATTCAGCTCTGCTGTCAATACCGCGAGAAGAGCCGAAAGAAATGCCCTCCGGCTCACCTCCTTCATGCTAGCCAACAGCGGGAGCTCAGTGGCCACATGCTCCAAATCGGAATTTCCGAGCCTTAGAGGACACATGCCCTCCGCCACAGAATAATTAGCCTAGCCGTGGCTAGTCGAAGGGAACATAGTCAGGTGCGCTACCGAGGCAGCTGTTAGGTAGAACGACAGTGTGGTCGGCTCGGCTCCTCCTCATAGCCTATTCCATTTGAGGGTCGGCCGTACATGAACTTCGGTCAGCGCTCGGTAATCATAGCCCGACAGCGAAACTATTATCCGGTCGGGAATCTTAGACTGAAAGCCAAGATCTATTACCCTCGGCCTTTCTCAGCTCGTTTTATCCGCAGTGGGTCTCAGATAGTTACCACAGGGGTCGACTGCTGCACTGGTCCTTGCGTGAGGCTCGCCAGGTCACGCTCGGTGTGTCACGGTCGAGCTCTCCTCCACATAACGGGACTCTATTCGGCTCTACTCTCGTAAGGCAGATCTATGCGACAGAGATTTCTTTTGGCCTTTCCGCATCGTGTCTCCGGGGATGGGTAAGCCGCCTCCGCCGATGCTTCTTCAGTCACTGAAGCAAAGGCACGAACCAGAACCCGTTCCCTTCTCCCACACTCCTGAGTTGGCGGAAAGCCGGGAACACTTCCTCTTTCGCCACAGGGCGATAGGGTTCCCCTTCGAGGCGTCAGTGCTGCCAAGGGGGTGGTTATGGCTGTTGCTCACCCGAGCAGATAGCAGGGGTCTCTCCACTGATGCCCATCCAACCCCAGAAAGGGCGTGGGGGTTATCGTTGGCCCCTTTTTTGGCTGCGACAGAGAATGGACAAGGTCAGTGCTGTCAAACGCCACGAGCCTCTGAATCCGGATCTCATTGGTGCCGTGCCGCCGCTCCGCGCCCGCCCTCAAGACGCCCTCTCCAAAGCCGCCAGGGCTGCTCTGCCCGTGATTTGCCGCCCCTCTGTTGACTGGGCTCAACATATTTGGCAAGCGCTGACAGATTCCTGGTGGTACTGCTAACGTGAGCGATGTGCATCGCTTCAGCGGATCCTCAATAGCAAAGCCAGGTGTCATCTTAGAGAAATGAAACAACAGTCACGGGAAAGTAATTGTTTCCTCCGGATAGTTTTGGGTAAGTGTTGCATCCGTTTGTTTGCTCACCCCCCAATGGTGGATCAGTTGCAGCAGTTATCAATCCATCGAGCCTATCTGGGTAGTCTCATGTTCAACAGCCCCCGCCAATGGTGCATTTCAAAATGTGCCTGGTGAGTGGCAGACGCAAGTCACCCCATGTTTTTTGACTTTTTTTCTTTAGTTATCGTGCAGTAACAATATGCGATGTTGGCGAGACTGCCGAGAACCTATTATTGACCAAATGGAACCGCTGGGTATCTGCAATGCTGCGCAAAAGTCGAACCACGTAAGCATGACTATAGAGCAGAACGGAGCAGCGTCGTTCTGTTCAATGTGTGTTCCTGTCGACCGAAAGTAAGACCCGAGGCCAAGTCACTGTTCGCCTCGCTGGCATTGCTCAGGCTGTGAGTTCTCGGCACTGGCAACCGGGAACGGCACAAGCGGGTCAATGCGGACAACACAGAGCCCTCACAGCCCCCTCTATATTCATGCATTGTCTAAATGCGAAAGTTTCTTCCATGAGACTACCCAAAGAAGTGCAGGCAGTGCCTCCAACAGATTGCTGCTTCGCGCACACGATGAGCAACATAAATGGCGTTCGTCGTGAAAGGGACGGTCGCTGCCACAGCGCATCGACCGGTTTTACTCTAGAGATTGCGGAGAATCACACCACTCCAGATGCCTGATGGCGGGGTCACCACACACCAGAAGAGAAAAAAAGCTCCGATGGCTGTCGTGGGGTTGCGATCATCTCGCATGAAATGACACGCGGTGTAACGCTGGTCGCCGGCTGAAATCAGCGACTTGCAAAGTCGATTTAGTACCATTACCTGGGCATGCTTGTTCGGCGTAGCATCGGTCTCGAGTCACGGCCTAGAAGGACTCGACTTCCGAAACAAACATGCAAGGCACTTGAATGCGACAACGAGAACGAGACACGAATGCTTTGGCCGGGTGGGGAGAAAGGCGGGCCCCCTATCGCCTCTGCGCAGAACGATTTGTCCGTCGAAGGATAGCTTGTGCACCTCTGGATACAGAGGCATAAATGCGCTCGTGGGCAAAACTGACCAGTAAGTTGGAGAAATAGCCTCCAAGCCAGCAGACTCCAACGGGGGCTGCTCGAGGAAGGCTCACGAACGCGAAAGGTGGCTCGGCGCTGCGCTTAGCCCTGCTTCTTCGCCCTGACCTACGAGTCAGGCCAACGGAACAACGGCCAGGACGAGAAGCGCGCTAGAAAAGGGAATGCCGTGATCAACGTGGCTGGATCGGCCCAAGCTTCCCCAGACGTCCTGCTTTTTGCCTCCCTCTTCCATGCCCAAACCCCGCAAGCCCTCTGAAAGCCAAGGCGACGGTACGTCACTCGCAAATTCTCACCTCGCAGCTGGCGAGTCAAGCCGGCTTGCCGAAGTACGCTTGCGCTTGCGGGTGTCCATTTCAGGCATCTCACACACAGATGAGAGATTCGGAGCGTCACGTCTTTGCCTGGGTTCGTTTCCTGTGCCCTGCACCGACTCCGTTGACCGACTAGGTCAATCTGGTAGCAGTGTTTGGTGGCCAGTGTTGGGCTTCCTTGGGAATGACACGGGGATATCGCCGGTCGACTCTGGGTCAAGCGCAACAACGAGAGCGATGGGCAACTGTGGGGAGAGATATGGACACACCCTTTGCTCAAGCGGAGCCCTGGATGGGCTTGTTCCTCATGCCAGACTCTGTGGATCCCGCAATTCTCCGCCTACTTTGTGCGCTCTGAGATGAGGCTCCGAGATGGCCCGACTGCATCGTCACAAAACCGCTCATTATCTCAACAGACGCCCTGCAAAGCGGCTCACCAGCAGAAGGCGGTCAGTCTTGGGTAATAGCCAGTGCCATTGCACCAACCAACCCTTTCAGGAAGAGGGAAAATTTTCATCAGACGGTCCCTCCCAACAACCTCGCAACGATCAAACATGCACGCCGTGTAGTAGACGCCAGGGGTGGTCCTTTCGTGTGGATATCCATCTCATCAAGGTCTCCATCACATGTCAGGCCAGCGTGGCAGATAAGAGCCTCATTAAGGCGGACAGGGTAGACGGTCCCTTTCTCCCGAAAATTGAGCCGTGGTTGGCATCACTGACCAAGAGAGGCCAGACCAGCCCACAAACGGATTGACGAGACACACGTTGCATTCCTCTCTGCCCAGTCCGCCCAGGAAAACCGCCGGAATTGCGCCACGGTGTCGGCACTGCTTTGAGGCGTTCCTTCGCCCCATTATGGCACCAGGACTTCTGGAAGTGCCTACAGATGCAGATGGAGGGGGAGACACCCCCTCCATTCCAGTGCTTGTGTCGATGGATTCGTCGTCAAATTCGGAATCCCGACCAGAAACGCCGCCCAGCCACTGTGGCTCCCCCTCCATTCCCGACACTTTGTTTGCTCCACACAGGTGAAGGCCACAGGCAAGTTTGGGGCCCCAAAGAGTTGATGATGGCACTGTCCGAATCAAGTCGGGCTTGTATCCCGTCCCATCGCTGAATTACTCGCATTCGGTATTGTAACAGCTCTCATATCGCAGTTGCTGCAGTGGCGCGCGCCCTGAAGCATCCGCCGGCTCAACTATCGCTTCTCCAGAGTCGACAAAGACTCGATGCACCCCAAAACCCTGCATCGATGGAAGCTCAGGGCTCGAAGGCATTGCGCCCCGCGACAAGGCCCATCCCTGGGGCGCACGACCTATCTTGGCCCGGCATAGGTAAAAAAGGGTGATAGGTGCGCCTTTGACGGCGGAGTGTCGCCTATTCAAATTTCCCGGCCAAAGGCGCCCGTATTGATCTGAGCAAGGATTCGAGGCCGACCCGATGTGGAATTGTTTGGCGCGGTGCGGAGAAATAGGCCAGACCTGCCAGAACAGGCTGGAGTGGGTAAGTGTCCCGATTCCCAAGGGCCACGATGCCGCGACGCTCATTATGTGTGTTGGCTGTGGTCGAATGGACATGCCAGCGCAGATGGGAGGGGGGAGAGCAAGCGGCCACGCCAGCTTCTCGGGTGCATGGCGGCTATCTCGCGCCGACGACGCCGTGCCACCAGGCTATTCCCCTTGGCTCTCGTGGGGATGAACCAGACTGTCGGTCTCTGGCAACGACTGAGAAAGCTGGCCGCTGGCTCAGTGTGGAGGCTCGGCGACCCCGCAGACTGACCAACTTGCACCATCTCATCTTGGGTTTCGCGGGGATCGGCTCCTCCACAATCGCAGTATCGGCTGGTTCCCCCCGAAGGTGAAGCTTGGAAGATTCAGGCCACGCAGAGTGGATAGTAGAATGGTGGATTGTCTCCCCTCTTTTCCCCCTCCTCGTGGCCTCATCAGCTGTGCTTATCGGGTGGAAAGCGGACACAGAATGGGAAATGAAGGTATCGTGTCGGACCCCTGCGTGGCTTGTAGCGCTTCGGTGAAGCCACGACCGAGATAGCCTGAGCGTCGGCGCGACGAGGAGTCACGGAAGAACCCTCTGCCCCCCGATACACGCTCGAACCTCGAAACCGAAAAGCCGAGAACTCAGCCGGGCCCCCCTTTTCGAAGCAAACCCCCACAAATGATGAAATCTCCAGGTTTTGGAATACAAGGTTCCACAAGGGGCGTTGGGGGGCTTGGAAGGGGGGGGCGTGTGAAACCTGGAGAAGAAGGCTTGTTGTTCAGTTCAAAGCCAAAGCATGTGCACGGGTCGGTCGGCTCTCCTGACGGATAACCAAGCTTCCATCTGGGGAACGAGACGAATGGGTCCGGCCCACGGTAAATTGAAGAACCTGGATTGATATCGAGACGATCGACATGTGAAAGAGACCAAGGCGACATTTGAGGACACTATGATGTTGCGCGCCCACAGAGACCACGATGGAACAGGGAGGAGGATAGATGTGGCTTGAGCATGTGGCTGCTTCTGCTTGTGGCGCGCCTTCTTCTGAGGTCATTGCGGCTGCCTCGAGTGGGAGGCATGTGCGGAATTCAAATGCATAACACTGTATCTCCAACGCGCTCGAGCAGAATATCTTCACCGCGTCAACGAATGCGTTGGCGGCGCCCCTCGAGATTCCAGGCATCATTCGATGATGGACAAGTATCACTCGATCCATAGCCAAGATGAGGCGAGTTTTGATCTAACAGCTACGCGTACGTTGATCGACCCCTCTCGACTTGGATCATATCTTCCTTCCACCCCGCTCGACGGCTTCGTCATCGGTCTCCTTGAGTTGTTGGATCCCCTTGCAACCTTGCTGATCAAGAGAGGATGTAGATCGCCTACCGACGGTTTCGGCTGCGGATGCTCTGGAGGATCTCGATGACGCCACGTCCAGATACGTTTCCACCGGCCTGCCGGATCTGGACGAAGCTCTCGGGTCCGCGTCGGCGGCATGTGATGATCATCATCGGCCGACGGCGGCATCGAAGCGCGCGGGAGGCATTCCGCGGGGTCAGGTCGCTGAGATCTGGGGTCCTCCGGGCGTGGGGAAGACGGCACTTGGGTGAGACGATTCATTTACGCCCTTCTCCTCAAGTCCATTGCCCCGGCTGCCATCACGAACGTTTCGAGCTGACCGAGAGGGGGGGCGTCAAAGTATCCAGCTCGTAGCCCACGCGTTATCAGACGGGCACGCCGCTGTGTGGGTTGGTGGGTTCTCCTCCTGCTTCTCCTGCTTCGCATCGTCACGTCTTTTTTTTTTTGGCCCATTGAGGCATGTGCTCGAGCGTGAAGGTAACACAAGATTGACCACCTCGGCAGACTGTTCATTTTCGGTCTGCGGGCAGCGTCTGAAGGATGTTGCACAAGCTATACGTGAAGCTCGTAACACGGGCTCAGCCTCGGAGCCGACAACATATGGGCTCATCGCCGAAAAGTTTACGCACTATTCCTGTCCGACCTTGGCGCATCTGATTGCCCTCCTGTGCAGACCGACGGCGACTACGCTACCCAAGGACACAGCCGTGGTGGTAGTCAGTTCGCTGTCAACGCTTGTCAATCATGCGTTCCCCAAGACCTCGGAAAACAGACCCGGACCGCAGCTGGGAAAGGGTACGTCGTGACGCGGCGCGCTGTGTGGCCGTTGGCGGCGGGACAAGAATCCGCTGACATATTACAGGTCCCAGCCTGGCCGCACGCCGTCTCCAGACGCTGCAGCACGTCGTCAGCGCACTGCAAAAGCTGGCAGCGACGCGCAACTGTGCAGTCGTGGTGCTCACGCAGTGCGCAACCAAGATGCAGGCGGAGAGCGGCGCGACCCTGGTGCCAGCCATCAATGCCAACGTCTGGGAACAGGGCGTATCTACTCGGCTTGTCGTCTACAAGGACTGGGCCTGGAAAGACGGTAGTCCGAGCACGGTATGCCTTGCGGGTGTGCAGAAGCTGGAGGGCAGAGCTGGGTCTGAAGCGGTATCGAGCGCGGCCGCATTTCGCATTGAGGCGGTTAGTAGGCGCATTGGCGCGACTCCTTCAAGCCCCGTTTGGCAAGGGGGGTCCCTTTTGCTGACACACAGTGCTGGACAGGCTGGCCTAATCGCCCTTGAGTATGATGCTAGTCAGCCATCGGTGGTCTTGACAAGTACACCAAGACGAAAGCGCAAGATGGACGATGCAGGCCTCGAGGTACCAGACAGCGACGAAGGTGAAGGAGATTACGGCTGGGAAGTGGACGACGACGCGGCAGCGCCAGTCCCACCACAGACTCAAGGCAGCGAGGACCTGCTCCTCGGCGTCAATCACGGCCTGTACGATGAAGATGATGATGAGAATGGTGATGACGAGGCTGGCGGCGACAGGGTGGTGCAGGATAGTGAAGACGACGGGGGCCCTGTGAATGACCGAGATAGCGGCGATGGGTCCGAAGCCGAGGACGAGCTTGGCCCTGGCCCTGGCCATGGCCAACAAGGTGGACTGGACGGTGCAAGTGCCGGGCCGGATTCGCTGAACAGCGGCACAGACCGGCGATAACGAGATGGCCGCCTGAACCCCAGCCGACCCTCCTCGCCCTGTGAGTAAGGTACTTAGCTTGGCTCTCGGGTTGCATGGGCGCTGCCGCATCCGCTGATAGGGCACCGCCTCGGTGCATTCGCACGTCGGTCCGACAAGAAAATCGAACCCCCACATTGCATTGCGAAGACAGACGCGCACACACGCACATTTACTTTCGCTGATCCCGACTTGACTTTGAAGCGGCATGATTGGAAGCGTGCACTGTATGCTCGGCCGGGCATGGAGTCCGGAGTCCGATGGAGGCGTCGTGATGACGAGGCCGCCCGGGCGGCTCAAGTCGACATTGCTGCGGCTCTCTCCATCGTCGTAGTCAGTCGAGGCGGGAAGAACCTGGAAGGGGCGGCGAGAGTTGAGGGCCTTCGCAATCGGCCAAATATCGGCATTTCACGCGGCGCGACTCAGCGGCTCGCAGCTTTCGAGGTTATGCTGTGATTCCCCGCCGGTCGGACAAGTCCGGCCTCCATCGCCGGCACTATCATCACATAGCTCGTCCCTGCCTTGGGTTGGGGTGGCCAAGGCGGAGATGGCAGAGCTGGGAGCATTTGGGGGGCAGAGAGGGGCGAGATGGGGGGCTTCTGGAAAAAATGTGGAAGAGAAAAAAGGAGTTGGATGGCATCATCGAGTCAGGGCATTGTCTCGTCTTTCTCCACCTAACGCCGACGCCATCGACAAGGCCAACATCGCAACCGTGCCGTAATAGCATCGCACCATCACGAGTTTCCTCAGCCAAGAGCTGAAGTGCAAATTGTGGCCCCTCTAAAAGCCGACAGCGACCCCCTGTGGCTCATGGCTCTTCGTCGAGGCCTCATCTGGCGCTTCGTCCGTCGGCGATAGATCCGCGGCAACTCATAAGCCAGAAGCGCAAGCAACCAGGAGCACCGACCACCCACCCTCAGAAGCAAAGTGAATCCACAAAGACGCCGTCCGTAGTCATGACACCCTTCGAGAAGCATTGGAAAGGGGAAGGGAAAAAATGGTATTTTCATGAATGAATGGAGTCGCACCCGATCCAGTCTTCTTTCGGTGGCCATACAACAAGTGCTCACACACTCGAGGTAGCTATGGAGAAGAGGGTACAAACGCGGTACTTTTTCACAAGCTTCGCTTTAGCTCCAAAATGCCTACTTGGCTCAAGAGACATGATGCTATCTCGCCGCTTGCCCCCAGATCTTTCAGCACGTTGTGCTACGGGCACACCCCCTCTGCCTCGCCCCCCTGTTGCCTTGCCATGCTCCCCCTTGCAGTCCCTTGCTTTACCTCCCTCCCTCACCTTTCAGTCCCGGGCCAGCCCTGTCCCAGGAACCTGACTGTTTCGGTGGAGGTGCAGGTAGGGGGGAGGCTTGTCTATGTCTTGAAGTACTGTCACTGGGTAGACAAGCCAGGTAGGTTTGAGGTGAAAGGATGGAACACGGCCATTCGGCGGGCTTTTACGGCGCCCAAAGGTCCGCTGCCACCTATCGACAAGTTCCAATGCGAATGCGCGAGCTTGCTCTGCTTTGGTTGCCTTGGAACAACAGTCCGCATGCTGGGGCTGGAGAGCTGAAGCTGAAGCAGCTTTCCGCAGTTGCAGGATGCAGGCGTAGGGACAGAGGCAGAAGAAGCAGATGCACGAGGTATTGTTGCGTGTTGCGTTGTGTGTACGGCTCACTGGGTTGCATCGCAGGCGCACATCCCCCTCCACGACCATACACCGACTTGTCCGCAAGCCCCCTTTGCTTGATGCCGTGTCGGTTGTTTCTCGTCCCGCGTCAGGCGAGTCTGCAGCTTCTGTCTCTTTCGTCGGTCATTCGATTCTCAGTACCGATGGCTTGAGCCACCTGTCGACGGAGTCGCATCTGCGATCTGGCCTTTCATTCCGTTGCAAGTCTTGGAAGATCGCTGGCTGACGCCGATCTCCGATGCCCATGAAAGGAACCTGACCTGATAGATGAATCGCACACCATGGGGCGCGACATTCAGAACGGAGGGTCGGGGCCATGATGCATCACCTGTGAATGATACCGCTGATTCGCCCTCGTCTGTACATACGCCAGTTGTCGATTGGCAACTTGTCAAAGCTGCTAAGTGACGGTATCCAGGGCTGGCGAATTAGGACGAGTGGTCGCTGAAATTTTCGCCACCTCGAACCCATTTTGGTTCGTGCTTGTTATCCAATCTGTGAGGGTCCCGGTCTGCCATCTTCCTCCAGATCACCAGCGGAATGGGCGGGTTTGCGGGGAATGAGGGGAGGGCTTGCTGTTGGCCACAATCTCAGGGGACAGACGTCAGGGTCGTCATGATCAGCTTTCCCCCGGACCAAGCTAGACCTGGGGCGGCGTGCACGACTCGCGATGGGCGTGCGCTCTGATTGCGCGAAGGTTGCCATGATTGAAGATTCAAGTTGGTCATTTCTGGTTTCCCCCCAAGTTTACCGATACTCCGCCGCTTGCTGAAGATAGGAGGATCGCGCGTTCTCGGCCGTTCTACTTCTGCTGCCTTGCCTTCTTTCCTGCGCCATGTTCTGCATGGGGAGAGAAGGCAACAGCAGCATTCCTTCGACGGGTTGCATCCCCACCACTGCCTCCCGTCCCTCCAATCCGTGAATCTTAGCTCTCAGCCTGCGTTCGAACCGGTCAGGACTTTGGCCAAAGCAATGCATGCATCCTCCGAGGAGCAGTCGGTCAAGTCAGGGGCGCCCACACTCTCCTGGGGGAGGGGGAGACATGGCATGCGGCCGCTTCACCGGTTTGTCCCTCGTCGACGTTCCATTGCCGGCGCCGCACGGCATGCATCTACGGAGAGCGGGGGGGGGGGGGGAGGACTGACTCCTTGTATCAGGACGGCGGCGCAGCCTCCTGACAATGGTGGCCTCGTCCAACTTCCCACCAAACTCAGATGGCGTTCGCTTACCCCTGCCCTGGGGAGACGAGATACGAGGGGGGAAGGGGGGTGGTCGAGGACCTGCAGCGCGGAGACGCAGGCTATGCTTCCCCGAACTGGGCGGCATCACTATCTGCTCTGCAGGTTCGTCTCAATCTGAGCCTCGCGGAGCGGGAGCCTCCTTGGGAAATCCCCCAACGCTGGGGATGATTCCCAACATGGGGGAACAGGGGGCGGGATTCGGTTGCCTTAGCCGGAGTTCAATGACGAAGTCCCCCGCCTTTCCTCGTCCTCCTCCTCTTCTTCCGTCCATCTTGCGGAGACCGGTCTGGAACGTCGTGAGGCTCTTTATGATCCCAATCACGCACGATTGCATTGCGTCGGAGGGAAATGCAAAGCAGAGCAAAGCAGAGGCAGAAGAGTGGCGTGGTGCCGGGGCGGCTTTTGCTTCTGCGCCGCGGCGGCACCTGTACTCCTCACTTCCTTCTGGTGCATTCGTTGGGCTGCCTCGGTGAAGCACGGAACGGCGAGCGGATGTTTGATGTCGTTTCGATGACTGGGGTGCGCTGTTTCAGGACCGAATCGAATCCTCCCTGTCCTGTTGGGCTGCGCAGCAGTGTGCGGATATGTCGGTTCGGCCCTCGGAGCCGATACGAGCATCTCGACAGATTGGCCGGTCGCGTCAGTGCTGCTGACGGATCGACGGCGTTGAGATCTACAATGACATGAGCCGGCGCTGTTCTCCGAAAATTCACTCAGGAACCATAATATGGAATAATGAGACGAAGGATCTGTGTGTTCAGATTCAGCCAAGATTCACCTCGAAGATCTGCCGTTCCTTATGCTTTGGGTCTTTGGGTTCCACCCGCTGGACGCAGAGATGCCCGAAGACGCCCTATAACGCCGGTCTTGCATAGGCAGTCGCAACAATAAGATGAAAGAAAAGCTTTTCTATCAGGTCCTACCTCGGAGGGGGGACGCGTTTAGCCATAGTTGGTAAATGAACTGAGTCCCCTGCCCCCGAGTCACATTACCCAAGTGGGAAAATCTGGGAGCACACCCAATATGACTGCCGAAATCAGAGAGTTTCTTGAATGCTATAGAGTTTGCTATGACTTTGTTAACAGATAGGTGCTTAATAGCCTTTGTCGGAGGACTCTGTCTCGATCTGCTATGGTCATGTTGAACATGTAAATTTGCTTAGACAAGTACATTGATATTACGACCTGGGGATGAGAATGATCCCAATTCTCATCATTCTCGTGGAATGAAAAATAGCGTCATGTTCCTCCTCTCCTGCAGACATGTTGACATGAGTTAGTACCCGGTTGTCACCCAGCACACCGATTACGAGATGACCATACAAGATGCTGCTATGGGCAGAACCACCAATTTTGATCTCATAGGATAAAGTACGGTTGAATGTTTGCCTTGCAGCTGATCAGGATGACGCACGAGGATGTGGGCGGGTCACAACCATGCTATCGCGGGCAGCCTCCGTGTTACCAGCTCTCCGTATAGCCATGGACGTGTAGAAGGAGGGGTCGTTGGCAGCCACGACGGCCCTCGTATAACGATAGGTCTCGAAGCACTCCATGATGGCCTGGTCGACGGTCTGGGTATCTTCGACGATGCCCGTGTTGAGCACGGCCTTGATCAGATCCTCGACGCCCTCAAATTCGGCCTGGTTGATACGGTAGCGGTCAGGCAAGCCAGAGTTATGAATCATGGCGAGCATGCCGGCGATGACCGTGTTGACGCCGGCCAAGATGGTGATGGGAATGCCATTCTGGAAAGCCATGGCGCCGACGCCGGTGAGGGCAGCGCCGACGAAGAGCTGCATCATCATGCCGGCCCAGCGGAGGAAGGCAACGGCGTGGAAGTAGAACAGATACTTGCGGCGCAAGGCACCGACGTCCCTGTAGAGACCGCTCTGCAGTCTGCGGCGGGGTTTGAACCAGTATATCGACGTTGGAGGATAGAGGGGCGTCTGGTCCTCGGAGTCCATGTCTGCCCCGACGGCTCGGGCGAAGATGCCTCGCTCGGATGGGGTCAGGAAGCGGTAACGAACGTGTTTGCGTGGTGGCTTGCTGAGCAGGCTGGGCGTGCTGCTCGAAGGGTTGGGCAGAGGATCTGGTGGTGGCAGAGGTGCGTTGTCGGACATGAAGGGGCAATGGCTGATGGTCCTGAGACGCGAAAAGTGGTGGATAGGCGTGGACGAATGACTCTCGCGGTTTGGGTGTTTTTTGCAGAGCCCACAGCGATGAAGATCAAGAAGAAATACGGAATCAAGGTGGATGTTGGTCTTTGGACTATCTCATGCTTGCAATTGCAGTCAAGTCAAGCGTTCACTCGTTCCTTCCTCCTCCTTATCAGGTTTCTCTCGAGGCAGGCAGGCTCCCGCCTTCTCGGGGTGAGCCTTCTACAAAGTCACCAGACGCTGCGGTAGGGCACTCCGATGTTTGTGCACGCGTGACACGACTCTTCCAACCCAGCCATATGAGTTATGATTGGAAACGAGGGACAGCCCAGCGAGGTAGGTTTTGATGGTAATTGACTGGATGCTTCAGTGTAACATCGAGTGATACAGGTGCCTTGTCAGGTTGCGTGGTTGACTTCCAATCCCAATTTGGCCGTACTGCGTACTTCGGTGTCGAAAAGCTCCCATGTGGTTGAACAGACTATCAACAAAAAGGGACTAGTCGGCTCCTTTCTACTCTTGACATCGTCATCACTTGCTTACTGTTTTGAACGCCGTGATATGTGCCGGAGAGGAGGAGGGGCGGGCGTGAAGGTTCTTATTGTTACAGAGGCAATTCATTAGATAATAAGTACAAAGCACTCAAAAAGTCCAAAACTCTTCCCCGTAGGCAGATAGCGCAGGAAGCTTTCCCGGATAGCAAGTGTTGGATTCAGGTGTATCCAGCCTGTGCATGCAAATAAAACTTTTGCTCCCAAGTCAAGAATGCTACGAGGATCTGAACAGCAGAATTATCAGGAGGCCCCTTCGGAGCCATGGAACAGGGGGCTGATTGGGGGCTAAGGACTACGAGGACGCATATATAAGAGTTGCGGAGAGCCCTTCTAGCGGCAGAGGGCCAGAATTCAGATGTGTTTTACCCCCGAACCTATCATCTGTTGGCTGCGGACCTAGTGCGGAAGACCTGTTCACACTGCTAAATTCACGCTCTGATGAGAATCATGGGACGATTCTAGGAAGAGGCCGGGAACAAGATTAGCGAAAGTGATCAGGCCGTGATGAGGCGCTCATGTCACACAATTCTTGGTGTTGGCAAGGAAAGATTACACGTCCTCTGGCCAAACGTAGCATTGGAGGCCACTTTGAGAGAATGCCAGAATTCTTCGGCGGGCCAAGCCAACTACTGGTAATAACTAGCGGTCTAACAGGGCATCGAATCTTGAAAGAGCCCAAATATATCCGAAGCGACTGGGGCGGTCGAAAGAGGCAGCAAAGAAGTTACAGCGAGCGGTCTCGTCGTGCTGCAATATCATGTGGTAGCCTACCTACCTAGGTACCTCAAGGGGAGTGGCTGTGTCTTCAGCGCTCAACCAACGCGTTAAAACATCTGCGGGTGATTGGCCATTGCCTTGGCCAAGTTGGCTACTGAAGACCTTTTAGTGGCCGAGGGCATGCAGGCGGTTGGTTGCATGGCATGATGCACCGTTCCCTGCTGACTTCGGCTCAGCCTCCATAGAAGTATCGTAACAAAGCTGTCGTCCAGCTCGTGAATCCTAGCCTTGTCAATGTAGTTTCTCGTCATTCACCTCGCTGATCTGTCAACAGAGCCTCGAACGGCTCTGCGACAAACAGAAGCACATGGCAGATCCGCTTTCGATCACGGCTAGCGTGATAGGGGTTGTCACGGCTGGCTTCGCCATATCTTCGAGCCTGTACCACATCGTCGATTCGTTCAAGGAGGCTCCGAAGGAGATACTTGCCTTCGCCTCAGACATTCATTTGACATCAATAATGCTGCAAAGCGTCTGCGAACTCATCGACCTGCATAGAAGTCTTTACAAAGCTCAGCTGCTTAATGTTATAAAAGCTTTGCGTTGGCGCTTCAAGCAAATCCAAGATGTCATTGCCAAATGCCCACAGCCAGGGCATAAGTCCCTCCTTTGTCGATTCAAGGTTCTTTTCATGAACCAAAGAATCACGGGTCTGATGAAGAAGCTAGAAGGAGTCAAGTAGACGATGAGCCTGACGCTGTCAATTGCTCAACTGGCCGAGAATCATAAGTAAGCCCATGCGTTATTGGATGGCGCAACATTAGTGTCCTAATGGAGGCTGAAACCTTTTCAGAGCATCATACTCACGCGCTTCTCTCGGAACTCTCCGTCTAGAAGCCATGATCACCATTGAAAGGTCCCGAAGAGCCGTCTCGCAGCTCATGGACACTCCCGTTCAACCGCAGATAGACGCGGCCCAGCAACAGCAGATTGCCTACGATGAGAGGCCCTAGGCGATGGCTACATGGATGTCACTGATGCTGTCAGCACCAAACATACCCCTGGATCGCCGGTTGCCGAGTAATGAGATTGGGCAAATTGCCAGACAAAATGAGCGAGCAGTTGAGATTTACAACAAGCCAAGGCTTCGACCGAAGCCGATGGAGGGTCTGGAAGTAACGGCAACCGGATTCTCGGCCCAAGACATTGACAAAAGGGCCCTCGAAGAACTCCATCTCGATTGGCAGACTTCTGCTGATAATGTGAGTATTGGCCATGCGTAGTCATTCATCATCTCTGTGTACAGTCCATAAGCCCGGTGCATCAGCAGCTGACCTCGTCCTTCTTTTATCCAGTCTACTGTGCTTGTCACGAAAGATAAAAGGCCATTGAATGGGTTCGAGGTGGATATGGTTGCTAGGACTAGCATAGTTATCCAGGCTACGTCTAACCCGGACTGGCACGTCATGAACACACCTTTTATGAGCTTGGGGCTCAAAGCGTTGGCTAATCGCTTGATAGAAGGTTGGACGACATTCGACATCAAGGAGTTTTCTGATGAGACAGACGGTAACAATCATTTACATCCCGAAATCCATGGTAATGAGGTTCGAGGTGGCGACGATGACTCAAAATCCACAAGCTCATCTAATGAGTTCGTGAATCAGTACTTGAATCGCCAGCCTTGGGCCTCGGAAGTGCGCCCGGAATTCGCAGCGGGCGAGCCAAGAACATCCACCGGCGCTTTTCGAAACCAACAATCGAGACCCAATAGGCCGATCGCTGCAAGTCGTTCCGTTCCCGCGGGAGCACGACCACCTTTACCTGACGACCTGGCTTCATTCTACAGTAATACGAGTTCATCGCCACGGCCGGTAGAGGGACGGAGAATATTCCCTTACAGACCAACTCAGGTCCCGGAGCTTAGTCAAAACGCTTATGCCAACCCACCGCCCCAGCACTATCACAGCTTCGCCAGTCTTTATGACGAAGCACCGCGCAATCCAGTGCTTGAAAGGCACCCATTGTATCTGAGGGATCCATGGCGTCCCGAAGCAAGAGAATTTGACTCGATACCACAGCCCGGTTCGAGTTTCTCTATGACGATCTGATATATGTATCACGACCAACTCAAGATAACTTTAGAGACGTCGACAACGCGCGACATTCTCAGGCCCCATCAATGTTTGCCAACCCAGGCCCGCATCAGTCTTCTTCTTTAACTGTTCCACATCACTCTGATTCTCATCCATGACATAGTCCCGGAAGTTGGCCAGCCAATGCTGTGAACTATCATGAGACCCCCGTGGGATCGCGGAACAAGGTCAGCCAGCCACCCGCTCGGCCACGTTCACCCGGACCATATTGATGAACCAGGCTCAGTACCACTGTTCAGGAGAGGGCAAAGGACTCTGGGATTAGTTTCATCGGAGGATGAGACAGAGAGAAGGATGTGGGTGTATAAGGAGCCCGAGCGATCCGTGCCGAAAAGGGGTCCGGGGACCAGACCACACCGCCAGAAACGTACATCTGCCGGGCTAACACCGCGAAAGGCGAGGAGTCACAATGAATTGAAGGCTGAACAGGGTACAACGGCTCCTATACCCCACGTTACTTTTGTTTCCAAAAGTAAGAGTGCAAGTCAGGGCTCCGACCGGTTCCGTCGCAGCGGAAGCTCTCAACCGGCGATACTAAACCGTTGGATCTACCAATCAATGACGCCTTTAAAAAGCACAACCGAGCAGTATGCACGCGAGAACTTTGCCATCGAGGTACAAGCCTGTAACTGTATCATCTGATCAAGAAAATAGCTCAGATGATCTCGCCCCCGATCAAGGATACGACTCCGGCGACGTTGCAGACGATGACGCAGGCGAATTTGGACAAGCCGGCCAAAGGGGAACAATCGGCCAAGTTGAATTATTCGAAGTCGAGTCTGTAGACTCAAGGCTGAGAGAACTAGACAGTATTTCCGTACCCGCGAAAAAGTCCAATGTTGAAGAGCCCCACCAACTTACAGAACTGATGGTGGAGGGACCAGTACAGGGACCGTTACCGAGCAATTCAACTACAGACAATGATTGCCCGTCATCGACTCCAGATACTGCACACGGTTTTGAGGTTCACCCCAAAGAGGCAAGCACAGGACAGCAAGACGGAAGGGAAATCAAGACTCTGTCACTAAGAAGACCCATGCTGCCACCCACGTCTCAAAAGCCGACTACCAGGGCGCGAGCAGCCAGCCGACTCACCGCTCAGATAGAAGAATCGAATGTAAATCCAAACACCAGTGACTCTGAGGAGTCCATGTCGACCTTCGAGCCGCAGCTGCCACCAGTCATGGATGCACCAGCACCTGAACACGAGAGCCCCGTGCCAGTCTCGACAGCATGGCGAGGCGTAGTATTCCCGGTTCGACCACATCTTGTCCCCATTTACGTCAGGGGCAACGGTGAGTGGCTATCTTTCCCTGGTGCTTTTGCAGGCTTGGAAGACGATCGCCGTACCTGCCCACCCTGTCTCACGTTGTCTAATGTCATTCCACAGAATTAGGACAAACTTGGTATGCAGGACCGGAGCGTGTGTATGTTGAGCAGTTTTCACCGGAATACCTGCGTCCTTGCAGCATTGGATGCTGCTTGGATGGTCTCCATGGCCAAGACAGACGATATCTTCTCATCAGCACCGACTGGGTCAGCTTGGAGGCCTTAGAGTACCACGGCCTCAAGTACAAAGTCGCGTGGCTGCATTACCTCTATCTCAATCCAGTCATGACATACGTAGGTCGACCGGATGGCTCTGCAGGGATTGTCCAGCTGACGAACATACCAGGACGATGTATTGACCTTGTTCAACTTCAGCTGGCATCTCCGCCAGGTACACGTTTCTTGGCAGCTTCGCGGCCGCAGCGCTATGCCTGTCCCTCACATGAAGACCTCCCCTCCACCGCCGGCGCGATTTTTCAGTCAGCTGGAGTTGAATAAACCCATCAAGCGCTTGACTGGTGCAGGTGACTGGGAGACACCGGAGGCCCAGGAGAAGGGAGGCGGGATCGTTCAGTGGGTGTGGAATGCAGTCCGATCATCCTTTGATCTTGTGTGTACAGTTGTACGGAGTATCAGCTGAAGGCGGAACACAGACATCAGTATATTTCAGCCCGCAATTCAGCATACGCTTCGAGCGCCTTGATAAAAAAACGGATTAGTAACTCTTGAAGAAGAAAAGATAAGAGAGCTGGAACTCTAATGCTCTCAGATTCTTGAAATCTATAAAAGATTTATTTGGAGACATTCTCGATACTAAAAAGAGGAAGTATCGTACATTGTGGAAGTCGTGATGCTCTCGTGGTGGGCAATATCGAGTGGGAGCGTGCCTGAGACCGCCTTCCTGATGGGCGCGCGGCAGAACAACGCCCCACTGAAATTTCATCGACGGCTTCATCTGCCCTTGAGATTTCCAGGTCGAGTCAACCCAAAGAGCGTCGAAAACCCTCACTAGCGGCCCCTCCCCTTTCTTCCTGCATGTCTCTTCTAACCCTGTGTCGTTCTTTCCATCGAAGCTCAAACCGCTTGAAGCTCGCGCGCGCTGCCTCGCCTCCAGCGCTCTCGTCATCCTTCAGTTGCATCTCACGCAGGAGTCATCTCATCAACCACAACGTCCATCTCCCCACCAAGCTCAGATTGGCCAGGGGCATCACCATGGCGTCTGAAGACCACGGGGGTGCGCAGAAGGCCGGTAGTGGCGGGGATTCGGTCACGTATGACGGCAAGGAGTACGATGTCATTCAGGAGGGCATGGCGAAAATACTCGTGCCTGGAGGCATGAAGGAGAACAAGGACAAGAACGCCCAGCAGGTCTTCTACAACCCCATCCAGCAATTTAACCGCGATCTCTCTGTCCTTGCTATCAAAGCATACGGCGAAGAGGTCATTGCCAACCGCAAGGGGCATCCCGCGGCGAAACGTCTCGACAACAAAGAGAAGAAGAGAAGACGTGGCGACGAGAACGATGGCAACGACCGCCCTGCCAAGGTCCAAGTATCCGAGGGCGAGGGGGAGGTTGAAGTGACGATCACAAAGTCCAGCGACGCACCCGCTGCGCCTGGGACGGCCGCCGAGACTAAGGGCGATGAGGGAGCCGAGGAGCCAAAAAAGCCCGAGCCCCAGCCTCGCTTTACCGTTCTCGATGCGCTATCTGCCTCGGGCCTGCGCGCCCTCCGCTACTCGCACGAGCTGCCCTTTGTCACATCGGTCACGGCGAACGACCTAACGAAATCGGCCGCCGAGTCGATCAAGCTCAACGTCAAGCACAACGGCCTCGAGGACAAGATTGTTGTCAACCACGACGATGCCATCGCCCACATGTACCGGCGCATCGCCGACGGCCTCTCCAACAGGGACAGCCGCGGACGGCCCAGCACCAAGAACAAGTACGACGTCATCGACCTAGACCCCTACGGCACTGCAGCTCCCTTTATCGACGCGGCACTCCAGGCCGTGCGTGACGACGGCGGCCTGCTCTGCGTCACGTGTACCGACGGCAGCCACTGGGCGGGCCACTGCTACGCCGAGAGGAGCTTCGCGCTGTACGGCGCCGTCCCCGTCAAGGGCATGCACTCGCACGAGGCGGGCCTGCGCCTGATCCTGCACACGCTGGCGTCGACGGCGGCGCGCCACGGGCTGCACGTCGAGCCGCTGCTGTCGCTGTCGATCGACTTTTACTGCCGGCTCTGGGTCCGCGTGACGAAGAGCGCCAACGCCATCAGCTACCTCGGCGGCAAGACCATGGTGGCGTACCAGTGCTCGGGGTGCACGGCGTGGGAGACGCAGTTCCTGGTGCGGACGCGGCCCGAGCCCAAGAAGAAGGGCGGCCACTTTTTCAAGCACAGCCTCGCCAAGGGCCCGCCGACGGACGGCGCGTGCCGGCACTGCGGCTCGGCGCAGCACATCGCAGGCCCCATGTACGGCGGCGCCATCCACGACCAGGGCTTCGTGCGGCGCGTGCTCGACCTGCTGCCGACGGCGGATCCGGCCGTCTACGGGCACGCTGCCGCGCATCGAGGGCATGCTGACGACGGCGCTCGAGGGAGTACCTGCCGGGGCCCGAGCCGGCGGGGGGACGTGGAC